AGTAGCCAGGACCCCACAATCCTCCACACAACTCCACACCCCCAGCCCCACTGTGGCCCCTGAAGGCAGTCAGATAGGACCAAACCCGGGACTGTGGGGTCAGCTGAACCTGTGACGATGTACCCCAGTGGAGCAGGGCCTGCAGAGTAGACCCCACACCCCTGCAGAGGACCCCCCAGGCTCCACGGCTTTCCCTAGTGGTCCTCTTTGAGGCTTATAAGGAAGGAGTGATTTCAGCATAGCACAGGCCACACAGACATGTGGATGTTAGGTGCCATCAAGTCAGTTCTGACTCATAGAGACTCTGTATAGGGTTTCCGAGGAGCAACTTCTTGTTGTTGTTGTTAGGTGCCATCAAGTTGATACTGACTCATAGTGATCCTAAGCACAACAGAACAAAACACTCAGTCCTGGGCCAACCTCACAATCATTGCAACTCCTGAACCCATCGCTTCCGCCACTGTGCCAATCCATCTCACTGGGGGGTCCTCCTCTTTTTCTCTAACCCTGCACTTTACCAAACATGATGTCCTTCTCCAGTGACTGGTCCCTCCTAACAGTAAGTCCAAAGTATGAGAGACGAAGTTTGGCCATCCTGGACACCAAGGAGCACTCTGGCTGCACTTCTTCCAACACAGATCTGTTGGTTCTTTTGGCCATCCATTGTACTTTCAATATTCTCCTCCAACACCGTAACTCAAAAGCATCAATTCTTCTACGGTCTTCCTTATTCACTGTCCAGCTTTCACGTGCATATGAGGTTATTGAAAATACCATGGCTTGGGTCAGGTGCACCTTAGTCCTCAAACTGACATTTTTGCTCTTGAACACTTTAAAGAGGTCTTGTGCAGCAGATCTGCCCAATGCAATACGTCATCTGATTTCTTGACTGCTGCTTCCATGAGTGTTGATGGCTGATCTGAGAAGAATGAAGTCTTTGACAGCCTCAATCTTTTCTCCGTGTATCTGAATGTTATTGATCTAGTTGTGAGGATTTTTGTTTTCTTTACATTTAGGTGCAACCCATACTGAAGGCTCTGGTCTTTGATCTTAATCAATAAGTATTTTAAGTCTTCTTTGCTTTCAGCAAGTAAGGTTGTATCACCTACATATTATTGCAGGTTGTTAATGAGTCTTCCTCCAATCCTGATGCCACGTTTTCCTTCATACAGTCCAGTTTCCTGGATTATTTGCTCAGCATACAGATGAATAAATGTGGTAAAAGAATACAACCCTGGCATACACCTTTCCTAATTTTAAACCATTCAGTGTTCCCTTGTTCTGTTTGAACTACTGCCTCTTGGTCTATGTACAGATTGCTCATGAGCACAATTAAGTGTTCAGTAATACTCATACTTCGCAACATTGTCCATAGCTTGTCATGATCCACACAACTGAAAGCCTTTGTATAAAGCACAGGTACACATCTTTCTGGTATTCTCTGCTTTCAGCCAAGATCCATCTGATGTTAGCAATGATAGCCCTTGTTCCACATCCTCTTCTGAATTGAGCTTAAACCTCTGGAAGTTCTCTGTCAATGTATGCTTGCAGCCGTTTCTGTATTACCTTTAGTAAAACTTTACTCGCATGGGACATCAATGATACTGTCCGATGATTTCCGCATTCCGTTGAGTCACCTCTCTTTGGAATGGGCACAAGTACAGCTCTCTTCCAGTTAGTTGGCCAGATCGTTGTCCTCCAAATTTCTTGGCATACATGAGTGAGTGCCTCCAATGCCACATCAGTTTGCTGAAAGATTTCAATTTGTATTGCATCAACTAAGGTTCCCTGGTCTTTGCCAATGGCTTCAATGCACCTTGGACTTCTTCCTTCACGATCATTGGCTCTTGATCATATGCTACCTCTTGAAATTGTTGAACATCGACCATTTCCTTTTGGTACAGTGATTCTGTGTATTCCTTCCATCTTCTTTTGATGCTTTCTGCATCTTTCAATAATTTACCCAAAGAATCCTTCAATAACGAAAGTCGAGGCTTGAATTTTTTCTTCAGTTTCCTCAGCTTGCAAAATGCTGAGCATGTTCTTCCCTTTGTGATTTCTAACTCCAGGTCTTTGCACATTTCTATGATATTTGACTTTGTCTTCTCAAGCTAACCTTTGAAATTTTCTATTTAGCCCTTGTACTTCCTCATTTTTTCCATTTGCATTAGCATCTCTACACTGGAGAGCACGTTTCAGAGTCTCTTCTAATTTTGGTCTTTTCCTTTTTTCTTGTTTTCTTAATGACCTCTTGATTTCTTCCTGTGTGATGTTCTTGATGTCATCCCACAACTCTTCTGGTCTTTGGTCTTTAGAGTCTAATACATCAAGTTTGTTCTTCAGATGATCTCTAAGTTCAGGTGGGATAAATTCAAAGTCATATTTTGGCTCTTGTGGATTTGTTCTAATTTTCTTGACCTTCACCCTGAATTTGCATATGAGCAATTGATGGTCTGTTCCAGTGTGTCCCTGGCCTTGTTTTGGCTGATGATATGGAGCTTTTCCACAGTTCCTTTCCACAGATGTAGTCAGTTTGATTTCTGTGTATTCTATCTGATGAGGTCCATGTGCATAGTCGTCTTTTATGATATTTTAAAAAGGTATTCGCAATGAAGAAGTCATTGGTCTTGCAAAATTCGATCATGTGATCTCCAGTATCATTTCTATCACCAAGGCCATATCCTCCAACTACGGATCCTTCCTCTTTGTTCCCAACCTTTGCCTTCCAATCACTAGTAATTATCAATACATCTTGATTGCATGTTTAATCAATTCAGACTTAAGAAGTTGGTAGAATTCTTCAATTTCATCCTCACTGGCTTTAGTGGTTGGTGCATACATTTGAATAGTAGTTGTATTAACTGGGCTTCCCTGTAGGCGTATGGCTGTTATCCTATCACAGACAGCGTTGTACCTCATGACTGATCTAGATAGGACACCATTCCTCTTCAATTTGTCACTCCCAGCGTAGTAAACCATGTGATTGTCAGATTCAAAATGGCCAATACCAGTCCTTTTCAGCTCACTAATGCCTAGGATAGCGATGTTTATGCATTCCATTTCATTTTTGAACATTTCCAATTTTCCTATATTCATACTTCATACAGTCTGTGTTCCAATTATTAATGGATGTTTACAGCTGTTTCTCTCCATTTTGAGATGTGCCCCATCAGCACAAGGTCCTGAGGGCTTAACTCCATTCGCGTCATCACATTCAACTCTACTTTGAGGAGGCAGCTCTTCCCCAGTCGCGTTTTGAGTGCCTTCCAACCTGAGGGGCTTATCTTCCAAGCACTGAATCTGACACTATTCTGGTGCTCTTCCTCACGTTTCCAATCTGGTGCTAATAGTGGTCCACTGCAATTCATAAGGTTTTCAGTGATGAAATATCTGGAAGTAGTCCGTCTTTTTCTTCCTACTCTTCCTTCATCTGGAAGCTGTCTACCACGGGTGGTATTTCAAACAGTCGTGGCATAGCTTCCAGGATCACCACAGTACGACAAAGTGACAGATGAGTGGTGGGGGGGCAGCTGGTGGGTCTGCACTGCTGCCCTTGTGGTTTGCAGTCCAAGGCTAGTGCTACAGCGCCACATCCCACACCCTCGATGCGGCTCGTTCCAGAGTACTGCTGCACTCAGCTTCCTTCCTCCCTCTCAGAAATTGCTATAAAGTGGAGCCTCGAACAGAACCTGCAAATAAAACAGCCTGAGGAAGCTGAAGGGAGAAGCCAGTGTTTACTGAGTGCCCACGGGGTGCCTCCAGAGCCCTGGTGGCTCCTGATAAAGCACTTGGCTGCTAATGGACTGGTCACTGGTTTGAATCTACCAGCCATTCCATGATGACTCCAAGCCTCGGAGCCCCTAGGGGCACTTCTACCCTGTCCTGTAGGGTGGCTATGAGTCGGAATCAACTTGATGGCAGTTGAGTTCTTCGTTTGGTACACCAGGGGGTGTTGTAGGATAAGCACTGGACTACGAACCTCAAGGTCAGCGGTTGGAGCCCAGCAGCCGCTCTGAGAGAGAACCATGAGGCTTTCTGCTCCCACAAAGATTTACTGCCTTGGAAAACCTGTCCAGGCTCGCTATGAGTTGGATCACTTGAGGGCAGTGGGCTGGTTGGATCTGCGTGTAGCAGGTGATTGACTGGATGTGAAGGAGAGTGGACAGTGGGACAGGTCCACTACACTGTGCACCTCCACACCCAAGACATGACTGGCCACCATGACATAGGAAGTTTAAAAAAAAAATTAAAAAAAAAGAAAGTCGTACATTGATGAACACATGTTTCTGGAGAGACCCCAAACCTCCCTCAGGGCCTGCACCTCCTTCCCCCTCCTCAGGCATGATCACACAAGAGCAACAGCTGTGGGCAACTCCTGGTGAGACCACCTTCCGCAGCCCACTCCCTGCACCACGCCCACTACACTCAACTCAGTCATCACTGCGGTCTGGAGTCTGGAGACCTTCGCTGAGCCCCTAGGAGGGAGGCTGGGGCCTCACGTGTGTTTCACAGCACCTGTGTCTCACACTGGGTACTGTCCTCATGTCACTGAACCCAAGGTAGTGAGAGTCTCTTACCTGCCTGCCCCCCACGCACAATGCACACTTTCTAAGGTCAGGGAATCAGCTCAGAGCATGCGCACACACAGACATATACAAACCCATGACCAGCACAGCCCATGACACAGAAATGGTATCACACCCATGGGGTCCCAGAGGTCGTCCCTGGGTCCCGGGACAGCTTTTCTTCCCCTCCCATGGCTCTCCCTCGGTGTCCCCCACCTCCCAGGGCTTCCTTGTGCCATGCGTCCTCAACATGAGGGAAGGACCGGTCCCTCTGGTGACCTGGGCAAGGCAGTTCCAAGGAGGGAATGGAGCAGAAAGGACAAGGGTCCCAAGCTGCCCCAAGAAAGCCCACTCACTCTCAGCTGCAATAACTAACCGAAACCGTCCCCTGTGTGTCACAGGTGACGCGTCCCAGCAGCGCCCCCGGGACCCTACCTTGAAGCTTTTGTCCATAGATGAGGAAAGCAGAAGGTGGCTCTGAGGAAGAACGGGGCACCACTGGACGCTGTTGACGGGGCCCCTGTGGCCACGAAGGTGGAAGAGCACGTTCCTGGAGATCTGGGTCTCCTTATACTGACTGTCCAAGTATGGCCGGATGAACTCGGACACTCTGGGGGCCACCCCATGTGGGGCAGGGCCTGGGACACCACCTGCCAAGGGAGCCTGGGGCTCCACACCTGTGCATCCGCCCTGGTCGGGGTTTGCTGCCTGTGACTGTCTTAGCCTTTTTGGGGTGTATGGTATGACACACTGCTCATGCCTCTTCTTCGGAAACAAATTGCCATTTTTCCCGATGACATCAGATTGGGTTTGAACACAGGAGGTCGGCTCAGGGGAGTCACGGGTTTCCCAGGAGCACTTTGGTCCTTTGAAGTGGGCAGCCACCAGGGGTACGTGGCCAGCTGGAGTGTGGCTGGTCCACAGGGAAGGGCGTGGAGGCTCCCTGAGCGGGAAGGTGGGCGCAGGCTCCTTCTGCGACCACTGCAGCCTGTGGCTTGGGTGAGACTTCCAGTCACTGGTCCTAAGTCGAGCCAGCGGGAGACGGTGACCGTCCAAACCTTTGCAAAGGCTTCCTGGAGCTTCGGGCCCATGCTTGGTGGGCTGTGGGCCCCTGTCCGTCATGTCCAGCAGGCCAGGGGTGAGATCCTGCTGGCCAGTTCTGTCCACATCAGAAGTATCCTGCATCCGGCCAACAGCATTACAACTTCCCACGGGCTCCGGCTCAGCCTCCGAGTCCGAATCATCATAAGCCACCAGAGAAGCCATTGACACTTCAGCTTCTTACTGCGCTTTGTGGACCAAGTGCCTAAGTTAACCAAATAAAGCCAAACGTCAGAAACTGGGCACTGAAGAATATTTACCCACAACCAAGAGAAAATAGGTCACCTAGGGAATCCAAAGGTAGCACAGGGACTCCACGGGATGAGTTGTGGTTGTTGTTAAGTGCCATCCAGTCTATTCTGACCCATAGCGACCCTGTATAGGGTTTCCAAGGAGCAGCTGGTGAGCTTGAACTGCTGACCTTGCAGTTCAAATGACTTTGCAATCTGACGCATTAACCCATAGCACCACACCAGGACTTCTGCCTGGAAACCACAAGGTTAGCGGTTCAAGCCCACCAGCTGCTCCGCAGGAAAAAGATAAGGTTTTCTGCTCCCACAGAAGATTTACAGCCTCAGAAACCCTATACAGGGCCAAAATTGATTCCATGGTACTTAACAACCACAACAAGAGAACCAAGACTCAAAAACCCACAAGGAAAAAAAGATAAAAGGAAAAAGAAGGGCATTTCCATACACCAGGCATAACGAATTACAAGGTGTCATCTTTTTAATGAGAACTTTGGAAATCAATTCAACAAGAAATAAGCAAGATTTTCCCCTGAGATCTCAAATCCAAACAAGTTTAGCTTCGCCAGTAAAGCGTGCAGCCTTGAGTATTACACTCCTTTAAGAATTCTTTCTATGGGATTCAACAGACAACAGCAACTTGAAAGCTCAGAAAGGAACATTAGGGGACGGGGGGTTTATGCTCTGGGGGACGGAGCATCTCCAAAACTGAGGATGAGAATGGTGGTACAGCTCAACGAATGTCAACAATGTCGCTGAGCTGTAGAAATGGCTGGCTTGGTGTATGTTCTCAACAGTGACAAAAATAAAAGTCAGTGGTCCATGACAGGAAAAACAAAGGACAGCAATGGCAGTCCAACCGTTACGACAAGAACAAGCAAGGTGCTTGCCCAGGGGACGTCAAGGCAAGTGGTCGGGTCCCCTCAGGGTAAACCCCCTTCCAAGACTAAGACTCAATGGGAATACACACTCTGATTGGTGACCACGCTGGTCACCAATAAGGGGAAGTGAGAGAAAAACAGCAATGAAGCTGTAAACTAAGTCCTACCACGTTCAATAGACTACTGTGAACCCGGATGGAGACCTGGTTGGCCAGCAGTGTGGCAAGCCCTGGGGACTCCTGGGCCCAGAGTCAGTGACACAGCCACAGAGGACTAGAGTGGAGAGTGAAGCGTCCAGCTGATAAGAAGAGAGGACATATGCACAAGAACACCCACACTTAAAAAAAAAAAAAGAACACCCACACTTGGAGATAATACCCACTTGACCTGGCTTTAATGATCAGAGATCAACTAGAAGAAGAAAGAAGAGGAAAAAAAGAGTAATCTGATACAATTTGATGAACTTGACCTACACCTATGGAAGGAGTAGCTCAAAAGAGGGAACAAATCTTTACAGCAAGGATCATTCCTGCCCCCTCCATACACAGAGGAGACAGGAATGGCCAACTTGGACTTTGGCTACTCAAAATAGGGGTGGGGAGGGCTACAAAGGCAAGAAGTGACTGGCTTACAAGCTTTCAAGAGGGAACCTAGATCCAGAGGGTGCAGAGGAAGGTAAAATCTTCACTGAGTGGTTTCCAATCTGTTCAGGCGGGGCTAGTGAAAGGAGATGGGGTAAGACTCTTATGATCCAATAGTGAATAATTACTATCAGGACTGACTGTGAAGGTTAGAAATGTAAAGGTAGACGTTTTGCAGCAAAAGGAGGGGAGTGGTTTATTTTGCAGTCTAGGAGCAGAGATCCCTGGGACCATCAAGGGAGAAGAGCAGAGTGCGGGACCCTACCCAGAGAAACAGTGACTACAGAGATGGAGGCTGAGACGATGGTGGAGAGATGGAGCAGCTGAGAGGGAGCCAGGCTGTGTGCTAATGACCGAGGGGCCCTTTGGTTGTTTGATGATGCAAGGAGGGGATTGTATCATGGCAGTGAAATGATATACACTAGGATGAATGTAATGCTAATGTTCTGCCATGTAAACTATCACATAATTCACAATAAAACATTTTGTTTTTAAAGTAAGTGGTCCAAAAGCAAGCTGCAATGAAGAAAATGAAAACTTGACCTAAGGACCGAACAGCAGACAGGAGGAGATGGAGCGATAACAGACACACAAGGGCTCCCTCCACATGGTAAAGACGCCATGGGGAGAGCGAGATGGCAGTCAGTACCTGTGAACACTTGAGGAGTCCCTGAGTGGTGTAAGCAGTTTGCAATCAGCTGCTCACCTAAAGGTTAGAGGCTCGAACCAACCCAGCAGTACCAAGAAAGAAAGCCTGATGATTTGCTTCCAGGCATGACAACTGGTCTGTATTCGCCTAGAGTAACAGAGGAAGAAGGAAATCTGCACCAGGAGGAGAAGCATCGTGTGGCTGGTTGCCTCCATGAACAACTGCCAGCTTTGCCAGAAGACCAGAAGAACTGGATGGTGCCTGGCTACCAGTATTGGACATTTTGATCAAAGAGTCCATAGAATTCCAATCAAAAGGGGGGAAATGCAGAATAAAATTTCAAATTCGCATGGACTTCAGACTTTCTAGAGGCATGGAGGGAGGATGAACCCCTGAAAATAGTACACTAAGATCATCTTTAAATCTTAAACCAAAAATAGCCCCTGAAATTATCTTAAAGCCTAACAAGAGTTTAGCTTCACTAGTAAAGCAAAGACCATCTTGAGCATTACACTCTTTTAAGATCTGAGATCACAGTGACAAGAGCAACTCAAAGGGCTAGGCAGGAAGCTTGGCGGGCAGGGAGTTGATGTGAATGAGGAGAAACACCTCAGAAAAGGAGGTGAGAAGAGCTGCACGATTCCAAGGCAGCAATCAGTATCCTGAGACACTACATGTAGTGTCCATGGAACTGGTTTACATTCTGCTGGGTCTAGTCTCAACAAAATACAATTTTTAAAACTGTTACAGCCAAGAATACCACATGGAGCACGCATGAACTACAGTTCCATGAATGGAAACTGACTTGATGGCAAGGAGGTTTGTTTAGTTTGCTTGTTTACTAAAATTTGGAAAGTTCACAGCTGGTCTGCTTGGCTGCTAATCCTCTGGTTGACAGTTCAAGCCCACCCAGAGTTCACCTCAGAAAAAGGACCCAGCAATCTACTTCTAAATTACAATCAGCCATTAACAATCCAATGGAGCCCAGCCCTACTCAGACACATGGGGTCACAGTGAGTGGGAACCAACTCAATGACGACTGGTATATACCTGCTGCTGAAAATGTAAACACATAGGTTTTACCCCAATGATCCCACGTTAGGACTCTGTCCTGCGCTGACCCAGGCACACGTTTGTGAAGACCGGTGTACGGAGTCTGGCAGCGCTGTGGGGTAGGTCTGAAAATGCTGAAATAGGAAGATGTGTGGAATCCACTGGGTGGGAAAAGCCAGCATCCCTCCCCTTCATCTTCCTGCGTGCACTCCATATCATCCCTCTACGCTGTTTCCACCAACCTTCTTCCCCAGAATTCCCAGCTTGACTCCAAGCCAGTGGGGAGAGCAGACTCACCACACAAAACCCAGGTCCCGGTGGGGTCAGTGCACCCAAGTGTAGGGGACGCAATTCCGGGAATGTGATATGAGCCCACCAGCCCATTTCACTAGAGCACATAAATTCACATAGCTACAAATTCCCCTCTGAAAAAAATAAAATAACTCTTCCTGAAATTCTGAACCAGCATACAATCGTTACCAACTAACAGTTCCTCGAAACTAGAGCCTGGGTCTGCAGCTCAATGTTCTTATCCCGTGACGACGTCAGCATAAAGTACACTGAAGAGGAATGCAAGGATACACACGCAACACGATCAGACCTCAGAAGACATGGTGGAGGGGCCTTGAAATCAGCAAGGATGTTGGGCAGATCCAGTGGGCAGAGGGTGCTCTGGAGCAGTCCTGAGATCTGCAAGGATACCATACCATAGAAACAGCAGAGGGTGTGGTCCCCCAGTACTGAAATCCACAGGAACACTGCAGAGCAGAGCGTAGGGTGATGCAGCCCTTAAATGGGTGGAGCTCAGGCAGTCAACCAATTTCAAAAGCCAGAGCGCTAAGCCTTGGTGAGTTCCTCCTCAGGCCCCCAGTTATCACTGTAGGGTCACATACTTTGCTAAGCCATTTCACACAATCACCCACCCCTCCCTGAGGACAGGAGGTTTCAGTGGCCCCACCCTTTCCATCAAAAAAAAAAAAAAAAAAATCCAATTTCACAGTCATGGAGTAGATTTCAACTCAAAGGTACTCTAAAAAGATTTTCCAAGACAGGAAGCTAACAGCCTCATTTTTCTCCCATGGTGGTTATGAACCACCAACCTTTAAGTTACCAACTTAACGCTCAACACTTAACTACAGCACCACTAGGGTTCCTTCAGCCCTTCTAAGTTGGCGTTAAATGACGCTAAGTGGGCTCTGATTCCTAGTGACACTGTACACAAAAGAATGAAACCACCCAGTCCCATACCAGCCTCCCAAATGCTGCTGAGCTGAAGTCCACTGTTGCTGCAGTGTGTCAGTCCATCTCCTTAGAGGGCTCCCTCTTTTTCTCTGTCCCTTTGCTTTACCAAGCATGATGGCCTTCTCCAGGAAGTGATCCTCCTAATATGTCCGAAGTATGAGAGACAACATCTGGCCATCCTGGCTTCTAAGGAGCATTCTGGGTGTACTTCTTCCAACAGATGTGTTTGTTCTTCTAGCAGGCCATAACTAATATCCTTCTCCCACACCATAACTCAAATGCATCTATTCTTCTTCTACGGTCTTCCTTACTCGCTGTCCAACTTTCACATGTGTATGAGGCTATTAGAAATACCATGGCTTGGGTCAGGCACACGTTAGTCCTCACACTGACATCTCTGCTCTTGAAAACTTTAAAGAGGACTTGTGCAGCAGATTTGCTTAATGCAATA